CTAATACGAGCTCTGATATTCCCTATCCTCCTGTATGGAAAGGAAACGTGGACAATCCTGGCCCGAGAAAGCCAAGGATCGATGTATTTGAGATGTGGTGCTGGAGGCGAATGGTGAGAATATTTTACACCGTCGTATGAAATGCGCTGAACAGGAAGCAATGGAGAAAAATCATTCACACCAGATGCAACCCTAATACTGGCCACGATCTTCAGACATGAGGGACCTACTAAGAGTGAGAGATATAAAATGAAATCTATTAAATTACACGAGCCATCAAAGGTTTGATAAATATCTTAAATGTGTACTTTTCGCGGATTTCTTTTTATTTTTGTCTTAAATACAATAAAGTTAATATATAAATGTTGATTAATTTGATTATTCCAAAAAAATAGCACATAAATTACAAGGAACATCACATACCTAAGTAATATATAATGTAGATAGTTGTATCTCTTCGATTCTAAATAAATAAGTATATATTGAGGTTACTTTGAGAATTGAACCTACTTTAAACTATATTTAATAAACTTATAAAAGACCTAGCTGCTTTTCTGCGACATTACGCATAAATTATAGTCTGTCACCTGCATGTACATTAACTTTCCGTAGGTGAAAGAATTTTTTAAATCAGTCTAGTAGTTTTGGAGCTTAATTATTCTTCAATTCAAACCTTTCCTATTTATAATACTAGTATAGATGAAATGTTTTTCTCACATTAATCTAGTCATAAATCAAACTCTGAAATTACAGAGAAAGGAATACATCTATGTCGGCGGTCTGCAAACCAATCTACCACGTAGGTCTTCAAATAAACCGTTAACAACATGCCGAAAAGGGTTTCCACTTTCAAAGTAACATTGTTGGTTCACAAAAACGGCTTTAGCGGTCACCAATACATAAACTAAAATCGAAAATACGATTGCATTTCTGACACGTCTGGACAGGTATAAATGTTACGAATTAGCAACGCACGTCATCATGCAGTGTGGTCGCTTGACCATTCATCAGCTGACAATGGCAAGAATACCATCTCCCATAAATGTCCCCGAAATTCTGTGAGCAAACATCGGTCCTGTGCACCACAATGTCTATGCCGCTACCCGCAGTGCCGAATAAAGCCATCCAATCTCGAAAACAATTGTTTCTATAATATGTTTTGATGTTTGGTTTTGTGAGATTGTCACTTTAGTGCCGTGACGGGACGTCGCATTTTCCGCCTTTGTGATATTTGTGTTTTTGTCGTCGCGTGGCACGGAACCCATTAAGATATTGTCGGTATTTTTTTTTATTTTCACTTTGAATTCGGTGTTCAATGATTGAAAATAGTATTGATAGTTTCACACCAATTGTCTGTGCGTATGTGCGACTACAACTTAAATAAGCAAACTAAATGTCATATCATTCAATTCAAATATTTATTCGCTGATTACAAAAGTATTGAAAATACTGTAGTAATATGAAAATATTCACTTAAAAAACTAAGTTTTTCAACGATTGGAGTCTGCAAAGAAATCATTATAGATCACTCTGCTTTAACTAATAAATCTATTTTTCCAAAAATATCTTAGTAATACAATAGATTTGTTTTGGCAAACTCTTTTAAAGATTATAAAAATACATTAAATTTATTTAATATGAATTTGTCAGTCTCAGTCTTAGATAGCATGATGTGTAAGCGACTCCACTTAAACATGAGCGACTCAAAGCTATTATTGCATTGTCTTATCTTTTTCAGGAGACCAATGGAGTTAGTATAAAAATAGTAGTTGCTCATCCGTTCACAAATTATAAAAGACAAAAAAGATTTTTTTGTTTTTACACACAGCGATGTATAAAGACCCCCAATTTATGAGACAATGCCATTTCTAATTTGTTTTGATGTTCAATTTCACGGTTTATTGTTAGTAGTGAATGTCAAATATTGTCCTTTTTTTTGTAGGTATTGTGTCACTGTATCTATATAGGTTTCGTTTTCTTGAATTCGTTAAGGTTGTAAATTTTTGTATTGCCAAGAGCTGTGACAGCTTGTATCTATTTTTGAATGTTGTCTTTGACATGCATGTCATTTTTTATTTAGGTACTAGTGGCCGCCAGCGATTTCGTCCGCGTTTTCCATTTTTTCTTCGCTCCCAATAGTTGCAGCGTGATGTTATATAGCCTAAAGCCTTCCTCAATAAATGGTCTATTCAACACAAAAATATTTTTTCAATTCGTACCAGTAGTTCCTGAGATTAGCGCGTTCAAACAAACAAACTCTACTGCTTTATAATATTAGTATAGATGAAATACTGGCCAGAACAATCCTTCTAGCATGATTTAGTATTCACGCGCGATGGCTTATTATTAGCGTATTTCATGTATAACTTTGGTGTTTCTATACCGATTTCTATGATTCTTTTTTATGGAATACTAAATACTGATAACTTTTTTAATTAGGGATGACTGAGAATGTTATAAACGTAAGAGTAGACAATAGACAAATATAATCAGAAAGCTTCGAACTGCTAAGCTATCGGGAGTTACACGTGTTATTGTGAGTCAACCATAAAAGATAGACATATGCTGTCATGGGATATTTTTTATATAATTTTAAGGGAAACATTTCCGTCATACATGATTTCTGGGTAGCTTTAACCATGCACACGCGACGGAAGCTTAAAAAATGGAGTAACTTCTCCCGTTTTCCCAACATTTCCCTTCACTGCTCTGCTCCTATCGATTGTATCGTGATGAAAAGTATACTATAACCAGATCAGGAGTATGAAAAATAATTGTACCAAGTGTCGTTAAAATCCGTCGAGTAGTTTTTGTTTCTAAAACAGACAGACAAAAATTTTACTGATTGCATTTTTGGCATCAGTATCGATCCCTAATCACCCCCTGATAGTTATTTTGGAAATATATTTCATGTACAGACCTCTCTACAGATTTATTATAAGTATATAGATAGATTATTAAAATTAGAACTGCTCAAATATTAATTTCGAATTTAGGAAGGTAAAATTTATGAGGAAAATAAATATTAAATTTTAGAATTTTTATCTATAACTGCTGCAAAAGATAACTGTTTCATGATTTTATCTGTAAAATGTTATTGTGAATGTACCAGTATTGTAAAACTATCAAAAATTTTTTTTACCTATATAAAGAATTATTAACAATAATTCAAAATTATTTGAATTTATTACAGGTGTATCAGAATCCATTGGCACAAAAACGAAAGAAATAAACTTGATTTTCAAATAGCAATATAAATTGTCATCCAATTGTCAAGTCAAAGTGTATTAGTAAGGGGAAGATATAAAGGCATTTTTGCACCCCGGCGGAATGTTCCTATTTATGTTCCTATTCCTACAAATTTGCTCAAGCAGATTTGATTAACACGTGTAAGCGTAAAGGACAGTTACGATATTATTAGAGATTAGTAATAAAAAAGACAAAAAGTAAAGCTTCTTTTATTTATTCCTGTTGGATTCAGGTAAGGTGAAATATTATTGGGCTTTTCTATCGGATTGAGTGCTGTAAATATATAACATTAGATATTGATAATATAGAGTATACAGGTGTATGTTTGTGTACTATATTATGTCTCACGCAGTTGACTAATCTATGTAAAAATTTATCGTGATCGGATTTGAGCTAGGAGTATGTTTAATAATATGAAGCAGTTATTGGAAAGTTTTTATTATATTTAAATATTACAAGTATCAAGACATCTTTATCCTTATTATTCCAATTTAGAAGGCACTATAAATTAAAATTTCCTGATTTGTCATCAGATACATCTATACCTACTTAATTTTGTAAGTAGTTTTAATTCACCATATTTATAATGATTGATAAATTTAAAAATATTATTTTATGTAAACAAAATTATATTAATTTTCGTAATTAATTATTTTTAATTTTGAGTGGATATTCCAATTAGTAAATGTTTGTTTGACTAAACGAAGCAATTTCAAATAAAGCAAAGAACCTTTCTAAGTATACGAGTAATTCCATCCTTTAAACTTTTAACATTATCTTTATAAAAAACCGTTTCATTGCAAATTACAAAAAAATGAGTTCTGATTATCCAGTGATTGGAGATAATATAGGTTCTAGTATGTATTTGTCAAATTTTGACAACAAAAAATATTTAATTACATTCATATTGAAATTTATTTTACATATGCTCAAGTGTCGCTTATTGTAAAACGAAGTAATCATCAAGTATCTAGAAACAAGACATAAGAGGCGGCGCGTAACGCAGTAGCCGCGGGCGCACATAAATAACCGGCCAGCCGCAAACAAGCCGTATTTACGACAATATTATATTTTATACATGCACCCGTTCAGTACACAGAAGGCTCTAATACCACGCCAACCTACTTAATAACCAGAACGCGCGGAAGGCGTAACCCGGTGGCAATCTACCGTCTCGCTCGACGACGCCCCGGGCGTGCGCCTAAGCGAGACGAACAACCACAAATTTATTGAAACGAAAAAAAAAATCAACTGCTACTGCACTCCGCGTCTCCTCTACAGAACTAGATACATTTTTCCATGTCGTTGTGTGCGAGCGAGAGGTGGTAACACGCACCGCACGAGTAAAAGAGACGAGTAGCGTTCCCCGAGCGACGCTCGAAGCGAAACTGTCGGTCATGTGGGCGCTGCCGGTCTTGCGCACGCGCAGCTACTTCGGCACGGCCGAGATCCACGCTCACGCTGCGTCGTTCGGCTCGCTTAGCCCGTGTGACCTTTAGCTGGTGAACTTAGGAAGCGTCGTCCGCTGTGAAATGTCCATTAGAGCCCCTTCGCCCCGCGCAGACGCCGGCATCTGCAACACCGCCAGCATTGGAGTGAAAGGGACAACTGGCAGTCACCTGTGCCGTTGTTAAAGGTATTCATAGAATGCGTGATCTGTATCGGGCAGGCGGGAGGCGGTGCGGGGTGCGGGGACCGTTCGGAAGCGGTGGCAGCTCCCATCGACTCCTGGGGTTATTCTTCCTTAGGCCACTACTGATCGAGCTACGTAGCAAGCGAGCCAGTTTTTTCTGTCCACCGCACCGCACGCCACACACTCGTTAAGCCAGTGCCAACACGAGAAGTCGCCACTAATAAATTACTGTTTTTTACTGCACTCGCAACAGTCACCGCCGCGCAGCCGAGTAATTTATACGTTAAAATAAACATTAATCAGCAGTCATCGCAGTTGTTAGCGCCCGAACACAGTAAGTACCTCAACATCTGTTCATAATTTTTGTGGAATCTATGCTCTCTTAATTTATGTTGAATTTCATCGAGATTGAAGATGGTCTACGAACGTCTATTTTAATGTAGTTGACCAATTTGAATCATATGGTTAAGAGAACATAAGATTGATATTTTTTATAAATTATTGCAGTTTTTTATTAAATACTTATGACCAATAAGATATGACGAAAGTTCTACATATTATTATTAGTTGCAAATTTCTATTATTTTTTAACAAAAACCTTTCATTAAACACTGGTTTTTTAAAATACTGCAGTAATCAAAATTATTTTCAATTTTATATTTTATTTTGTTTCATCACTGTCTTTACATCACATTTCTACATCATTATCTTCATTTCGATAAAGTAAATTATAAAGAATCGCGTAAGTGTGACATGAAAAAAGACCCAAAGCTTTTCTTATCCATAAACTAGTATTGTTGGAATAATCCCTGTCATTATCATGTAAATTGACCTAAGCGCCTCTACAGGCGCTTGATCACACAAAAGGATCGAAAATTATTGTCAAACCAGGATTTTTTTTCATCGAAACTCATAAGCACCCGTCCGAGTGCTATTCACCATTCCAAGTGACCATTTTATAACGATTTATGGTTTATTTAACAATAAAGAGGAATGGCCTTTATAAAGAAATCTTTGAAATATTCTAAGGTATGGTTAATATTGAGTTTTTATTGTGTTTCGAAGCTTTGTATTGCACGCATCATTAGATATAGTTATTGACACCTCGAATTGGTTCCCATGATTTTTAAATTCCAAAAAGTTCGTATACCAAATCCTTATAAAGAGTATGGATTGTAGAAAGTCTAAATAAAAAAATATTATGGCATTGGACACGTCATACCAGTACATTATTGCGTTTAAAACAGCGTGAACTTAATTTTGGTAGTGTTACATTTTAATACAACGAAAGGGCGAAAAAATAGCCGCGTTCAATGACTTTTAATATATATTTTTTTTTAATAATAAAGAGTAAGTTCAGTACTTACGTATGAAATAATATATTTTTTGCTATTCTCACTATCAATGTGTAATTTGTGCATTGTTTAAACACGCAGGAAGCAACTTTTCTATAACTTATAAGAGAAAATTACGAGTGAAAATGATATTAGTCACAACGCTTGCTGAAACGTGACTAAAGTGAAACTCGGGCAATTGCCTTGCTTTCTTGTTGTCAGTGTTGTGCACAAGATAATCCATCTAAACTTTTTTATATATCATTGTAAAATACAAACTTTTTGCAGTGTATTTAAAAAAAATCCGTCACGGAAGCAGGCTCGATGGTTCCTTATGACAAGAAACGTTTAAAACATCGCGTAAAAAATACTCTTTTTCAATAGCGAAGGTTTTTAATTAAAGCTCACAACACAAGTGCGTATAAAAATAAATTGGTGTTTTACTATTAACCTTTCGTAAGCCAGCCAGAAAATTATCAGTCATACTTACATGTTTTTTGTATTTTTTATGAGACTGCGCAAGCGAAAAATAATGGCTGACAACTAGGAAAATATTAAATAACAATGATATAGTAAATTTACTTATATATGAAGGTATACAGTATGTTGCATCATAACTATTTTAAAGTATTTAGATTATTCTAAATGTTTTTTTTAGCATATCATACTACTTACGACGTTATTAAATATTGATTATGTGTAATTATAAAACGAAAATGCGAAATTTGCAAGTTACCAAAAATTTTGGGTACCAAATCTCGTGAAACTTGGCAATGCTGTCATGGGTATTTCGCGGGGAAATAAAAATTTCGCACATGATTTCATAAATATTAAAAAGCCCATTGTAAAACCTGAGAGTTGATTGTAGTTTTCGTAACTGTCGGTTTGCCCGCCACATATAAAAGAATTTACATCCATAATTATGCATCGTGAAGTAGTCTGTATAGGCCAGGAGATCAATTATATTGCGATGAGGATTTTATATCACAGAAAATTTGGGGGTAGTTTTTATCTAACTGTTTATTATTAATTATGTTTGGGAATCGTAACTAGTATCACTGCGATCCAAGAGTTTTATTGTGTTCTAACTCCAGAAGTATAATATATTCTTAATTTGAGTATGTAACAGTTAAATTTTTAGACGAATTACAATACCTATTTTTAGGTGGAGTAAACCTGAAAACTAAACTTTAAAAAAGTTTTAAATTTATAACATTGATTTCTATTGATAAAAGCTTTTTTAATGAGTCCTGTTATTCATTACAAACATTAATATTACTACTATTCATCAATATTTCGCTTAGTCTTTCTTTAAATAAGAAATTTCGAAAGATTTTATTACAATATTCGCGCCGAAACTTCCGAATGGAATTGTATAAATTTTGCTTGTCTTCATTTTAGCTCATTCAAGAGTTCATCATTGACAACTCTTTACTATGAAGTAAATAATTAGTTGTATATTTATATACTTATAATGCGTTATGTCTCTTGGAGTATGCGTATCGTAGTAGCAGTTGCTCGCCACGCGACGCCTGCGCGTGTACCTAATAAGGTAAACATCGACTAATCGGCTAAATTGTATTTGGCTGGAGATATTTTGGTACTTATGAATATTAATGTTACAAACGAAAATTAAAAAAATGAATAAAGTCGAAATTAACGTATTTTTGAATACTAGCCAAGCGAAAACCTGAGCAGTTTCGATTTATATACTTTGATTGCTTTAAATATTTTTTTATTTATGAAAAAGATATTTATAATTTATTCTAATTGATAATAATGCGTACTTTCGAACCCCATATCAATCGCGATGAAAGTGACAAAGTGCACGATTTTTATTTAAAATTTCAAATTCCGAACGCCCCGAACGTTTCGGCAATGGTTACGACTCGACGGGGCGCCTGATCCTCGCCACTCTCTTTTAACTGAGCCGAACAAGTCCGATTTAAAGAGGAACAAAAAGTATCTGTCACATATACGTACTCTGTATTAACACATTGGCTCATGTTTACGAGCCACGGGGTGGAAGACAATGATTATTTATTGTGCGGGTGGCTTTTGTCATGATGCCGCAGCGCCAGCAGAATATTGTGCCCATTTATAACTTCGAAAGCTGATCGAGGACACAGAATTGATTATGGCTAGTGGTTTTTTGATCATGTTAATATTAGTGGCGTCTATGATGTTAACATTCCTTTGATTCTTTCGACTACAAAGCGGCCGATTTAACGCCGATCATTTATAATGTTATGTAAATAAGCAATTTTTCAATATATTGGTATTTCTGTTGGCCAAGGAGATTTTTATCGATATCAATATATTTCTGTTTGATGTTAATTATATCTGATTAGAATGTAATTTGTTATCATCATCCTTCATATTGTGTAATTAATAACAAAGTACTTCACTTGATTTTTATTTCTCATGCAGAGTTTTACTTTTCAATACTATGAATTTTAAGCCGCGTTTTGTTTAATACAGTAATGTCACGAAAGTTTATTATTGAAAGCTTTTTGCCATCAACGTCATATTCAAGTTACTTTACCTGACACTAAATATTCATTCGAACGCAGGTTTTTAAGTCAATAAGTTGCCTTTTATGGGGTACATAACACGCCGAGTGTTAACACATAATTTGTCCAAGCGAAGTAACACAGGAAACCATTGTTTGGTCGAGATAGAGACAAAGGTTGGGCGGGCTTATCTGGTAATCTTTGAGATAAGAGCATTCCATAGTCGGGATGTTAAAAGTCGACAAATAGACGCTAAGTTTAACGCCATCTTGTCCTTTGATGGTCCGCAAATACGTATTCTTAGATGAAAGAACATGTAACAATGATTGGAATATACTTTTGATAATAAAGTGTCGTTTGAGTTTACGACAGGCTGTTGGTTGATACTCTATATTCCTCTTAATTTGATTTCTTTTTTACTCTAATGAAAAATGCTTAAAATCCACTTTGTCCCTGGCACTCTGAGATAGGACTCAAACCTTCCACAATCCGGGCGACTGCTCTAACCACTGAGCTACCCAGGACCTAACAGGACTGACGAATTTTTCAAGCACTTGTTACTTTTTCGCAGCTACAGAGCGTATTTTCATCAAAGTTCAGGCAATCCAAAGCCGAAAGAAATGTTTTCCTTCTCATTTACAACTTTTTGTCTAGTTAAATTAATTTGTGTTTGTAATGCTGACGGTTCTCCTACTGCCATCTTGTTTCGTTTTGGGAAAATAAACTATTGAATACGTAGGTATACGTACACATAGAGACAATTATTTATTTATTGTTTATTTTAGATTAAATTCTAATTCAAGGAGAATAAAAGGGATCGATATGGAAATTACAAAGGATTCGTAATAAATATTTAGTAGGTATACCTACATTAAAAAAGCACTTATATTAAATACCAATGTGTATAATAAACTTTTATAGCCGGACGAAGTACACGTTATCTTATCTTTTACACAAGTAACGCAAAACTGATAATTGTTTTACACTTTTCACAAAGATATAGGTATTTAAGTAGAAGGTGCGCCTTATCTTGTATGCCCTTTGTTTGCGCACGGGCTCGTTTTGTATTTGTGTGCTTTACGATTCGATTACACTAATACACTCTATCTCCGGGTACTAAAGATTATTTTGGAGTATATCTACCTATCGATATAACTTAAATCTTAAAACGATAACATTCTACGAATATGAACAAATAAAAAAAAACAATTGATATTGCTTTATGCAGATATACTGATACAACTTTGTTTTTAATAACAATGAGTTATGCAGTTTGTTAGCGGCGTGTTCTTTGATGTCTGTGGTCATCTTTTTTCTTGCATGTTATATGATCAAATGAAAGTAACAACACTCATATTAGCAAAATATATAAATGAAATATTACTCTAAAATATAGGGATGTCCATATAATTGCTGTCAATTTTTGTCGAGATCAAAAAAAATAAATGCTTAGCTAATTTATGGGGGTCCAGATCGACTATGTCCTA